TCCTTTGAAGCTCCTCCGTATCCTCCTCCTAACACGACGCACTGGTTTTCGTGTGAACCTCCTCCACCTCCGCTTTGCCTGTTGTAAAAACCAGAACAGGTGTTCGGCTCGCTGATTGTCACTTTCCATGTTCATGATGTCTGACCAATCTAAAGGTTCAACACCGTCTGATGATATAGTATCGGTGTCGGTGCCGGAGTCGAAATCGTCGTCTCCCAAGTAGGTGGATACACCGTCGGTCAAGGGGTTTGCTTCACCCCATAAAGAGCGGTGTGGTTGAGGTTCTCTAGGAGGAGGGCTGGTTGCCCAGCTTGGTTGTGATCGACCCCCTGCTAGTAGTGCAGTAGACTCTCCAGGATCGTCGGCCCATATGCTTGAGGGCCCGTTTCCAGGCTGAGCTTCAGTGGTTAAGGTAGCGTAGAAATTTCCACTGCCAGATCCCCTCCCCCTTCCAAGCACTGATCCTATATTACCAGGAGACCGTTCTGACAGATGGCCTATCGAACGGATCCTCTCCAGCAACTCATCATACTGTTGTTGTTTTCGGGGAATTTGGTGGTTGAGTGGCTGTAAGAGTTGCATGGCTCGCTGGTTGCCAACGCCTAGGGTGCGGAATAGGATAGTAGTGAGCAGTTGGAAGTTGGGAAGGTCAAGTCCCACCGACTGTGCCTCAAGGCGGGCCATCTCGAACCGGGTGAGGGTGACATCGATTCGTTCTCCGTGAGGCACATGAAAGTCGATGAGCTGTGTGCCTGAAGTGAGCTGGCGCTCATCTTCCAGGCGCTCGAACTTCATGCTTAGGAGGAACATGATGTAGATTGCTGGGTCGGTGTGGACACCATCGATGCCCGCGCCGTAGTTTATGATGTCAGGCAGTACCCTCATGGCGAGTGTCCTCGCTAGGCCACCCAGGCCGCGTTGTATGGCGGCCGCTTGGGCCTGTGGCGTCATGCGTCCACTTGTGACGTTGATCCACGCGTTGACCTCATAAACGTACTCGCGGAAAGGTACGTTGCCTTGAGGGTCCCAGTATGGGCCATGCGTTTGCCCATCGGTGCTGTCATCTCCACGGCGCATGTGTCCGATTGCTGCCCCCAGCGCGAATTATATGATGGCGAATACAACCAGCCCAAGGCTGTGAAGATAAGGGTGGTTATTAGGCGCGTTGCCGCGCTGGGGTAGCGCCTTGTCAAGTCTTCGAAGCGCTTTATCTTGCGGGTCGCCCCGCCTCTGCTTCAAGTGCTGCGCTTTTGGCTCGTTGCAGAGCGGTTGGTAGTAGCGCAGTGATGAAGCGTATATGGTACCAATGTTGTTGTCTAGACGTCGTACCTCTCGTGTTGCTTCTTGCTCTTGAGTTGATCCTCGTAAATGTACTGGGAGCGGTGGCGCAGGGTGGTAGTTGGTCACGAAGATCGCGCCGTATAGCGCGAGGATAAGAAGAGCAAGAGTTGACCACACGAGAGTGCGGCCAGCTCCGCTACCAAGTCTGAAGTGACTATGGCAATTCAAAGAGCATCCGATCCCATGGGAAGCGGATGGCAAATAGCGTCCGGTATCGTACTGAGGTTGTTCAGTAAGAAAAATTGGACGGATAGGATTGGATAAGATCGATGTAATGATCTTTCCAGCACATAGCAAACACAAGCAGCGTCCGGGCAAATAGGGCGCGCGTGCCTTGAGCCAAAGGCGACGACGCGCGAGCTATACCCCCGATTCTATATAACATCTCCCAAAAAGCTACCCTCAAAGTTCGAGGATGTCTCAGGTTCCCATTTCCATGCGTTTGGTGAATTCGCGGTTTTCTTGTTCTGGTGAATGTCTCAGGCGAAGTGCTTGTTTTCGTGAAAGGCGGTGTTGCGAACAATTCATGTTGGTGAGGATGGCTCGAGCCACATGCTAACTTTGAGGAATCTCGAGGGCGCTCCTGGGGTCAGGTTGAGCCTCGTTTGGCGCTCATTTGGGGCTGCCTCGACGCCATCAAAAACATGCCAATGCTTTCTTGAGCATGTCCCAAGCGAAATCGTCATTTTTAGAAGCCTGGTTTGGGCCGTCTGGAAGCCTTTTCAAGAGCGATCCCAAGACGAGGTTAGAACAGCAATTTTCAAAACGTTGCTGTTGTATGTTTTGTTAATTGTTTAAAGATGTCCCAGCGAAATCGTCAGTTTCGGTAGTCACCAGGGCGCGTTTGGAGACATATTGAAATCTGTTTTGGGCTATCGTTTCTTCTTCGTGGAGCACTTCAATAACGATGTCAAGACGAGGCTGAAACCATCTCACTAGTTTCGAATATGTCCCCAACGAACTGCAACATTTCTGCCGTGTTCTTTTTTCTGGTCCGCCGTGATGCCGAGCATTTTCCGAGGATGTCCCTAGAGAAAACGCCGTTTTCAACATAAACGGCAGTAAAACACCTCCGGAGACATCTCAATTGTGTGAGGATGTCTCAGGCGAAACGCAAATTGTTACAGATGAGTAAATTTCGCGGCGATCAACTTTTCGAGGATGTCTCAAGCGAAACGCTTGTTTTTGTTAAACGCGATGTCGCGAATATCCAATGTGTGTGAGGATGTCTCGACCGAAATCGCTTGTTCTGTGGATCCGCTAACGAAAAATGTCGTGCGATCCGCCACCCTCTATTGAGTAAGATATGATTGGATATGATGCAGACTCGGCCACAACGTCCAGCTCGCTTTTCAGACCTCGAAGACGCTTCCCATCATCCGCCGGCCCCCTTGTGGGGCCACCAGGCTGTAGGGCGAAGTTGCTGCTCCCTGCCCCAGTTGCAGTTTAAGTCTCCAAGGTTACAATGCTGCTTTCTGTTTCCTCTTGAAAATTGTGCAAGTCCGCGCGAGGGGGGGAGCCCCAAAGGACCCCGTTACCACACCCGGATCGCGTTCGCTGAATTCCTGGGGGGGAATGGCACACGTACAAGTATGCGAGACTCGCGCCCCCGAGGCCGTAATCCCTCGTAAATTATACAATGCTCGCTCGCGTTCCCGAGGCCACAAACCCTGGTAAATTACATCATTGTTGCGTCCCTGAGGCAACAAGCCACAATACATTACGTACGCTACATTCGCGCCACCGAAGCCATGAACGTTCGCAAATGATGCATATTTGCGTTGCCGCGGACAAGAATGCTCCAAGGCCCCCGAAGATGGTCCAAGACGGCCCAAGAGGGCCCAAAGAGGCCCCAAGAGGCCCAAATCGTAAATTCCACAAAGATTTGTCTAAGAGTTTGGGCCTTCTCGCATGTTTGGCTTTCCGACGCTCCAAAACGGCTCAAAAAGCTCCCCAACCGCCCCAAAACAACCCAAAACGCCTCCAAGAGGGCCCCAAGACGGCCCAAGAGGGCTCCAAGATGGCCCAAGAAGCGCTCAAGACGGTCCAACCGGACCGCAAGACGGCCCCAAGAGGGGCCCAAGCAGGGGACCACGAACCGAACATTCGATATGTGATATGTGTGTGTGCCCCGAACACCCCCAGGAGGCCCCAAGAGGCCGCCAAGAGGTCCCAAGAGGCGCCCCTGACGCGCCCAAGAGGCCTCCAAGAGGCCCAGAAGATACCCCACGAGGCCCTGAGGGGCCCCCAAGCGGCACCCACACCCCAACACACATATACAAGAGGCCTCACACCCACAACCCAAGCACGGTGGCGGGATGGGCCGAAGACCACTAGGGCAACGCCAACGTTTCAATATGCGCTGATCATTCCGATCAGCACCCGCATGATGTTCTCAGATGCGCCAAAGCAGCGCCGAGACGCACCGACGCGACTCTGACGTACCCCATTATGATAACGAGGAGGCTGGTGGCAGGGGGTGGAGCCCTTCCGGATAAACGGATGTGTCATGAGTTGGCGCACCCCATAATTACGTTTCCTCTGCACAGCGCGGTCCGCACAGGTGACCCACCTGCGGGTGGGTCACCGGAGAACGAATTGAGAAAACTCAGTTGTTTCACTCGCGCGTTGGGCTCCAACCGCGGCGAATGCAACCCCGGCGAAGGCGAGCGCTGGCGAGGTCGACCTCAGCGAAAACGACTCGTGCTGGGCCTAGAGCCCGTTTCCAACATGACTCACACTCCTGAGCAAGGCCCAGCGGGTACTGCGGACTCGTGCCGTGACAACCTGCGCGTGGATCGTTCTTGAACGAATCGTGGTTTCCTGACCCCGTTTTTGCCAAGCGCCCCACCCTCTGCAAGGGGGATCCCAGGGAGCCAGCCAATCCCTGCCCACGGCGCAATGTCGCCTAGCAAGCGCCGTACGGTCGGACCTAGGACCGAAGACCATCCTTCAAGAACATGAGACCCTGCTGGCCAAAGCACACGTAACAGCCAAGGGTATCCTCCTCAGGATGCACAAGAACATCCAACAAGCACGCTGATTAGCAAGGTACCCTCCTCGAACCGACCTCGATCTTATACCTCGGGCCGGCCCTAGCATCACCCCTCGGTGCGCACATCTCCGAAGCCCCGACCCTTCTCCCAAGGGCCAGCCGGCTTTTCATCCTGAGTAGTTCTGTTAGCTGTCCTGGGGCATGGCGGGGGCCCCCATAGGGGCCGAGAACGGCGAACCGCCTGCAAGCTCAGCGCTCTTCGATGCCTTCGAGCTCCGAGGGGTCGCCACCGCTTCAGCCCGGCGCGGAGACTGCTGCAGCCGCGCGGGCCGCGGCGCCCACGGCGGCCGGCCGCATGGCCCAACGCGGCCACGGTGGCCCGCGCGTGCCGCGCGCGCCGTACGGCGACCGCCAAGGCGGGAAGGCGAGGGGGGGGGGGCCGGGCCCTTCGGAGCAGGGTGCGCTCGTTGGAGACTGGGGACGGCAGACGCCCGCGACTGGCGGCGGCTGGCAGCGGTGACCTGCGACGGCGGCGACTGACAACGGAGACGGACGACGACGAACACCAACGGCGACGTGCGAGGTACCGACGAAGACAACTGAGAACGGCGACCGGCGACGACGGACACCAGGCGACGACGGACGATGGACGGCTGCCGCGAACCAGCAGGGGTCCTCCAGAGCAGCACGCACTTGTCGATGACCACCCCCTCCCGCGTGGGCTTCCCGTCCTGGCTTGGCGGGTGGCAGAGAGGAGCTCGCAACCCCAGCGCCTGATAATCGCAACGTCGTCGTCGCCTGGGAGTTACCTTCCAAATCGAACCGACATCCTCCTCGACCTCGTCTGCCTTCTCCTCCTCCTCCTTCTCCTTTTTCCTCCTCCTCCTGCTCCACATCCACCTCCTCCTGCTCCTTCTCCTCCTGCTCCTTCTCCTCCTCCTCCTCCTCCTCCTCATCCTGCACCTCCTTCTGATCATGCTCGCACTTCACCTCCACATCCTCCTCCTTGTCTTGACCCCGTCTACATCTTCCAACTCAACCTGTGCGAGGCCAGGCTTTATAAATATCCGCCGCCTGGGAATCGATCTCCCTGGAAGATCGGCACCTTAGGCGGTGTAAGTGTGCGCGTCCTGGCATCGGACCTGTTCCTCCTCCTCCTCCTCCTCCTCCACCTCCAGGACCTGGCCCTGGAAGTGGCTGAGGGACGGTGGCGTGGCATCATACCAGCTTCGACGATGGAGGCCGTCGTGGGAGTGAGGCAACAAAAAAACGGTTTTCAGGCTAAGTTCCCCGGAAGATCGGTCGGCTCTCCGGGCGAACGTGACCAAATGCCGAATCGGTTGGATTTCCAAATGAGATCCTTGTCGGATTCCCCCAAGCCAAAAAAACAGACCAACACCCAAACAGCACGCACCAAACCCCAAACAACAAACCCCAAACCCAAATTCCCAAACAACAAAACGGAAACCCCAAACCCCAAATACCAACCCCTAACACCAAACCCCCAAACCCCAAACACCAAACAACAAAACTCCAAACCCCAGACCCCAAACCCCCAACACCAAACCCCAAGCACCAAACCCCAAACTGCAAGCCACGGGCTGTGCAACGTCCGTAGCCCGTGGCGCCTGGCCGAGCGCTCAGCGAGCCTGCCCATACAGGGTGCGCCGCGCCGACCAATCGCGTAGCGCTGAGGAGGAATTCGCACGCCGCGCGTGTACGGCTCCGCTGGTTCGACCTGGAAAGAAAAACACCTTCAGCCTAAGCCGCAGCCGATGACGTCCTCGCGATGGGCTCCATCCCCTGAGCCCCTGCGGTTCCAAACCGATGAAAATACATCACGCGGCGTCTTTTCGGCCGCCCATGGGGCAACAACCTTATACAGAAATGCAGCACGCGGCGCCCTCGGGCCTTCTTCCAGGCGTGCCCACGCTGTCCCAGGCGCTCCCAGGCGCACCCTGGCGCCTCCAAGCGCTCCCATGTGTTCCGCGGCGCTCCTAGGCCCTAGGCGTTCCCAGGCGCTCCCAAGTGCTCCCAAGCGCTACCAGGCGCTCCCAGGCGCCCCTAGGCACCGCCAGGCGCATCCAGGCGGTCCCCGGCGCTCCCAGGCGCATCCCAGGCGTTCCCGGCGCTCCCAGGCGCTCCCAGGCGTCCCCAAGCGGCCCCAGGCGCTCCCAAACGCTCCCCTGCGCTCCCAAGGGCTCGCGCTTCCTGGCGTTCCCGGTTGCTCCTAAGGTGCCCCCCGGCGCTATCAAGCGTTCCAAGGCGCTCACCAGGCGCCCCACTGCGCTCCCAGGCGCTCCTTTTGGCGCTCCCTGGCGTTCGCGAGCGCTCCCCGGCGCTCCCAAGCGCCCCCAGGTGCTCGAGAACGCTTCCTGGCGCTGCCAGGCGCTCCCCCGCCATGCAGGTGCTGCCGCAGCCATGCCCGCGCACCATAACGAGGGGTTGCCAACCCAACCCCCTCGCGCTCTCCTTCCAGCCATACGAAGTTCGCGCCGAAGGCGCATCGATGAATGCAGTCGCTTCAGCGGGGTCGATGCCAACGGCGAGCGCCGAGAGCGAATGCGACTGCCGTGCGCATCGCTGTCAACCCCCGTGGACTCCTGCGTTTGCGGCAGCCCTGCGGCGCCATTCAAAGCCGAAGGCCGCGACGAGCAGCTCGGCAAGGCAAGCTCGCGCACCAGCACAGAGCGCATCGCGTGCGTACTCCAACGCATTCGCCGAACACGACAGGCCCCCTTGATAGGGTCGTTGGGGGATAGAAGCCCTAAATCCTAAAGAGCTTCAGCGTGGGTGGTCTGGGACGGGAATGCAAAGTTCGGAGCGCGCGCGGCCTGGGCAGCGATCCCCCCAGACATTCTTGGTGAGGGGGGGATCGCAGCCAGCGCGCGCTTTCCCGAATGCAGACCCCAAACCCCAAACACCAAACAGCAAACACAAAACACCAAACCCCAAACACCAAATATACCAACCCCAAACACCGAACCCTAAAAAGCACACGCCAACATCCAAACACCACGCACCAAACCCCAAACACCACGCACCGAACCCCAAACCCAAATTCCTAAAACCCGAACACCACAAACACAAAACCCCAAACACCCCCACAAAACCAGAAACACCAAACCCGAAACAGCAAACCCCAAACACCAAACGCCCCGCCACAAACACCCAAACCCCAGACACCAAACACCAGGAGGTGTGCACGAGGGGGACGAATGGGGTGAGGAAGAGAACGATGTGGATGAGACGGATGAGAACGATGAGGAGGAGGTCGAGGATCAACATTATGGGAGAAGGTGCAGGAGGACGAGGATGAGAACGGCGAGGATGAGGAGGGGGCGGGACGGAGGAGACGGGAGAGCGATGAGGATCACGAGGAGGAGCAGCAACAGCAGGAGGGGAAGATGAGAATGAGGCTTGAAGAGGAGAGGCTGAAGGAAACGGAGGAATAGGAAGGCACAATGGGCTGCATTGCATTCGCCTCCCACACACGCGCTCAAGGGACAGTAACTCTTACACTCCTGCCTAGATACCTCATACGGAACAAAACTTAGGCGGTCTTTACAAGGGGGCTATCTGGACGGTGCGACACGTTTTTTTGCATGGGGACCGTCTGGACGCTCTGTGACATGTCACATACGGGTACGACATGTGTAGTTGCAGTATACAAGGAACCATTCAGCACAGCGAAGAAAGGGCTTGACATCATCGAGCCTAACACGCCATCGATTACATTCAACAGGCGAAGAGACCAAGGCCTACTCTACCGTTGCTGATTTGGCTCCAACCATGGTTACCGTATTACACGCTGTCTGTCCTGCGAGCACTGTCGAGCACCACGATACGCAGCACCGACCCACAGCGACAGCACGACTACGACCAGCACTACGACCGGCAGACTACGAAAGCACCGACTACAAGCCTCATACCCAGAACGGGAGCCCACGCGGGCATACCTGGGGAAGAGGCATGGCTATGACCATTTCGTAACATGTGACAATGAGTGTTTCATACTTCCTGCGCTCCGATTTTCAAACCAACCATGCTTGATGCGAATTTCATACCGCTGTAGTTCGCATGCCTTGACAGTGGAGACATACCATACTGGTTTCGGCCAGCCACGCTGCTTTAACGTCATGACAGCAAGGCTCAAGCATGTCATTACTACAACGATGTCATATGTCATCGCCCTTTATATATATATGTATATATATATATATCCGAACCATGTTCCCAGGACTAGCGCCATACATACTGACAACGACCGACACGTATGCTGTACATGCAGACAAGTGGGCAAACGCCACGCGCTTCGTCTACCTACCCGCCCTCTCCATTCACATGACCCACTCAGAAAAGAATGAAAACCAACGTGCCAGATAACGGAAACTTCTCATCGGACAACCATACCGGCCTTCTACCGAACCATACGAAGACGACGGCAACGACGAACTCCCACCACTACTCAAAACGCGACGCAAGAAGAACCCGTGAAAGTTACTACGCGCTGCCACCCCCACGAAATACGAACCACCATCTGCGCAAGTACTACGAGCACAAGTACAGCCGAACAGACAGGACGACACCACCAACGCGCGGATCAACAAATACTATGAATGTAGTTCCCAACCTTTGGGGTTCGAGTACGCACCAGTACCCACGTCTAAAGGGTAAATAGGGTGGGCACGCGCAACAAGACAGGCACACATCACAATCGCCTATTTGCCCGACATCAATCGACAATACTTTACGTTCCTGCTGCAAAAAATTAAAAAAAGCCCTACAGAAGCGGATAACACACTCATCCCACACCACTATCATAACACACTTGTCGCAATGACCAACCAACACCACGTACTACAGACGGGCCGACTACCGCAAGAACCAGCAGCCGTTCGTGGAAGACGATGCTACCGACTACGAAGTACGACGACGACCGCTAGTCAACATGACCTGGGAGGGCCTCAAGCACGACATCGACAACATGGTCAGGCTGAGGTACTCGCACTGCAACTTAGACGGCACCGGAAGAAGCCTCCGAGAGATCCTGTGCAATATCTTCTACCAACAGCATGACAAACCATACGAGTCCCATATTGACGAGGATTACGGCATGCCCGCCAAGTTCACCAGGGACAATAAAACCACGTTCCTTAGCTCAATGACCGACCCACAAGAACATTGCAACAGGACCAGGGCTCTGAGCCATAGTCTTGCGCGTAGACAGATGTTGTACATGGGCCATTTGGCGAGAAGATCAGACGAGGATCCAGTCAGAAGCTCGGTGTTTGAGCCGGGCGGTCTGGTTCTCAAGAGCCTTCTGGGGAAAAGGAGAAGAGGCCGCCCGAGACAGTCTTGGGGGCCCATGGTGCTGAAGAACTGCTTGAATGTTGCCGGCTCCCATGAGCGACTTGCTGATTACTTCCGCCGAGAGGGCGGTGCAGCTCGCAGGTGGGAGCAGGCGGTCAAGGCATGGGCGGCGTGCTGAAGGCATCCGTTTCCGTGCACATTTTCACCCATTGCTCACGCGCTGTGGCCGGCGCAAGGCTTCTGTTCTGTTCTGTTCATACACACCTCAGGCGCATCAACACTACACCCACCTTGGGCCACTTGCACTCTGGAGAAGCAGCGCAGACATATCATCACGCCACCATCCACATACGACCTACCTGAATACGTAGAGCTTCACGACGCGACTGACTACGAATGCGAATTGCTGGACGCATGGGCAGGCTCGGCACGCTAAAACCCGATAACTTCCAACCCAAAAGACCCATGCCACCCACGCACTACGAACTGACCTCACCAACAGCTACCAACCCCATGTGGCCCCAAATGCCATGCAAATTAGCCCAAACACCAATTACTGCAGTACACCCCAACGCGCACCTTATCGAACAACAGCGCAAGCCCAATCTCATCCGTCCACAGCCTACGCCAGAACTACCCCGCCCCAGCGGACCACAATTCCAATTCAGACCCAAGGAATCCCATGACAAGGGAGGCAGTCATCACACCCACGAACGTACCACACGACCATCTACACTACACTTTTGTTCAGGGCGAGCTTGCACAACTACTCATAGCAGAACGAAAACAGCACGAACACGATGACAAAGTGAGACTGACATGTACAGGGCACAAACCTGCCATTACACCACAGCAGCGCAAGCCGACAAATCAAGACAGACCGCCACCCGACGTAAGTCACGAGTACACACTGCCGCCTGATGCACAGATACCCACGCCACCGGCACAGACAGCGCCACAACAGCAGCCACAACCGCCCCCCCCCACAACAAAATGGAGACATGTCCAAGACAACCTAATTGACCTAGTCTGCGACACAACCGATTCCGACAGCAGCACAGACGAAAACGACCCCTGGGCTAAAGTTGACGGCGCAGCTGACACGCAGGAGTTCTACATCAGATCGCTACCTCCACATGGAGGACGCGACGCGCACTGCTCGCCGGCTGGACTCCCTGCTCCCGCCACGCCGGCGACAGAGACACCGACGGATGCGAGGACGACTGATGGCATTGCGCAATATATTACCATGAAACCACCAACACCTACACGTACCGATTCCAAGCCGACGATCTACTACTACCAGGGTGGCACAGGTACTTCGATAAAACCAAAAACGAGCTCTGCACACACCGAGACCTCCCACACCCTCCACTGCGACCCGACTCACAAGTAATGCCACTCTCGACTTTCCAACTACCACGCCCTAGCCGAATTGAACACTTCAAAACTCAAAGACGCTATGCACGCTGACACATCTCTACCACCCTGAAAACCCACGCGCGCCCAACCAAGGTTCCGATATGGCAACGACATGCCAGAATTTGCCAGCCACTATCGTAACAATGCAGAATTCAGACTTGCAGTAACCACCGCCAACCAGCCCTTCAACTCACTGCATACAAGCAATCCTGCCCCCTGAATCATAACAAAATCAAAGCCATCCAGGAAGTCGCGCAATGACCGAACGCGCGCCGCGACGACAATGATAATATGAAATGCGACTGGGCAACCAACATCGACGAAACGACGGCACTCCTACAAACGATCTGCAAACCGGCGGCGGCTCAAAGCACCGCCAGACCCACGCAGCCGACGCCGGCCACCAGCTCAGGTGACGATGGCATTCCGACCACACCACACTCGACGAACGACAGACCCGACACAGGTCCAAACCCTGCACCACCCACGCACATTCCATCTGCCAGAAAACAGTCATCGCAGCGCGCCACGCCAACTGCAAGAAAAGAGTTCCAAGGAGTCCGCCACGGCCTCCAGAGCCCCCCCCACGACGCCAAGAGGGCCCCAGGGGCTCCACAATGGATTGAAAAAGCTGGGGGCACCCCGGGCCAGGAGCACCTTTGGCAACCCCCGATATGTTGGTCATGGCAAACTGCTAGGGATCTTGCCCTTGCGGAGTCGACCATCTAACTGTCGCCGCTGTGAAGGGCCCAGACCTTCGATCTCCTGACCGTCTCAATTCGCGGTCCCCGGAACTAACGACTCGTCCTGGGGTCTGATTGCCACCATGAGTCGTTGTTAGGCAGTCCCGGAACCCTCTTTGCATCGTACTCGCCATGCTCCTGATCGTCACTACCCACCTCCGCCTCCTCCTTCTCCGCGTACTCCTTCGCGTCCTCCTCGGCTAATCATCTGTCAACGCATGCAATTCCTCCGCTCACTCATCCACTACCTTTCTGTGCCCAGATCTTCCGCTTCCTCCTGCTGCTCCGACTCTGCTTCATCGCCCTCGCTCTCGGTCTCGATTCGTGTTCCCGTCTCCTGATCCGTGTCCCCCCCACCCCACCTCTTCGTCCTCCCTTGCCGTCGACCTCAGCCTCTCCTGCCAAGGGCATACACGGGAAAACGCAGTTCGCAAGCAGAAGCGGGCATGGGGTCCCTGCATGCCAGGGAGGCCCCCCAGACACATCGGCTGACACCGCTGCCAGAAAAGAGAACTGCAAAACCATAACCCTGCGGAGGTCCGCGCGTAGTTCTTTGGTCGGTACTGGACCCTCCATTCCCTGGCGCGCAGGACGCGCAGGGGGGGGGCGCCGGAGGCGCTGCTGGGGGGGGGTGGAGAGAGCGAAGAGGGCCAGCGCCGACCCAGGACATCCGCGCTGACCTCCGATCTTGTCGGCACCTGTTTCTCAAACAGAGGCGCCCAGTCCTCGTAGCCCTCGAGGATGACCGCAATGACCAGGTTCATGATCATGAAAGTGATCAACAGCGTGTAGGTCACCTCCGCCGGAAACGTCATTATCATGCTCATCGCCCACCTTCTCGTCCTTCTCATCCTCTTCGTCATGCGGGCACGCGTGGGCCGGAGGGGCCGCCCCCTTCTCTCCTGACTCCTCCCCATCCTCCACATCATCCCACTGCCTCCCGCTCATCCTGATCCTCCTCACCCTCATCCTTCCCGTCCTCCTCATCCTCTTCACCCCTCCCAATTGTCATCCAAGTAGATTCATTATCATCCTCGTCCTCCTCTTCCTCCTCCTCCTTCTCCTCAACATCAATTTGCTTTAGTATTCCTCCTGCTCCTGGGCGACCGTCATTTCCTCCTCACTCTTTTCCCTTCTGCTCCTCTCGTTCTCCGCCTCATCCCTGTGCCTCCTTTGGCATCATCCATCAAAACCATGCTCCTCCTAGCTATCCATGGGCCTCCTGTTCCTCCTCATCGTCATCCTTCTCCTCATCTCTTTGTCCTTCTTCTCCCTCCCCTCATGATTGTCTCCCATACCTGTCCAGGTGCGCATGGCGACGATGGCCCCCGTGAACGCCAACAGAGGCTCCTGTCGCGGAGTTTTGCAGAGGTCCCCACAGGCCTGCGCAAGCTTCTGGAGCACAAAGGAAAGGTCAAACATTCCGAAATCCTGTTCTCACTACTCTTCCTTTCCTCCTTCTCCTCATCTCCTCCCATCTGCTTCCCCCCCACCTCCACTCCCCCCCATCCTCTTCCTCCTCCCCCCTCTTCCCCCCTCCTCTTTCCCTTCCTCCTTTTGCCCCCGCATTTCCCCTTTCCATCCCTGTCCTAGTCCCCAATAACAAATCTAAGCATACATGTTTCATCAGCCACGCAGGGGTGTCCCCTCTGACGGCTAAATAAGCCCGCGGTCAACAGGGATGCGGCGCCGGCCCGATGTTCTCCTTGTGTCGAGCACGGCAAATATGTTCAACGAAACTCGGTAACGAAGCAAGCGCATTTGCGCATGGATCGATAGCTGCGGAGGCGACACACACAGAGTACGAGGCGCCACGCTGGAAACAAAAACTGAAATCCGCCAGGGCGGGGGGGAGGGACTCTTTTGCAGATGTGCCACGGACAGTCGCCACAATCTCGTGCAGAGCACTCTCAGATGGTGACGGCCAGATATTGTCCTTTTGTCGAGCACAGCGAATATGTCGAGAGGAACTCGGTGACGAAGCAAGCGCATCTGCACAGGGATCGATTGCTGCGGAGGCGAGACAAAGAGTACGCGGCGCCTCGCTGGAAACAAAAAATGTAGCCCCCGAGTAATCCCCGAATTCGGGTGTTTCCTGAATCGACTGGGGATTGGCAAACCAAGGGTAGGATTGGGCGACGAGAGTCCAACATATACGTCAGGTAAGACGTTGTCCTGTGATTTCAATATGTTTGACGGCGGTGAAAGAACAATCCGCCGACCCTGTCGGCGTGTGGGAGAGGATTGTCCGTCTTCCTCACAGCGCCGTCGCCCCCTACACACGTCCACGGAAAAAATTGAACAACGTCGTCCTTTAGTCGAAGGGAAGCCCCTTCCATTGACCCCTTCCCCGCCGGGGGGGGGTCCCGGGGCAACTCCCGGGGGGGGGTCCCCCCTCGGATACGCAGCCCTCCGCCTCTCATACTCCTGCGTTCTGGGGTTGCGTTGGCCCTCCGGGGCCGTCTGCGGGCCCTTTCAGCTTGTCTTAAAGCTCCTTGGGAACCTTTCTCGAATTTTGGACTCTCTTGGCAACCTCTGGCGGCACTTTTGACGCCGTCTTGGAACCCTCGCGGGCCACTTGAGGGCGCTCTTTGCCTATCTTGGCACTCTCTGGAGCCATTCCCGAACCCCGGAAGAGGCCTCGTGAGCTGTCTTCGGACGACCTTGCAGGCATCTGGCGCCGTCTTCGAGCCATCTGAGGGCATCTTGGGTCCCTTCTACCTCCATTGCCTTCGTCGTCGCTGCCTGCAGGGACGGCGGCATCGGCCTCAAGGCCTTCGCAATACTTTCTGCCAGAGCATATCCGCCCAACGAACACTTAGACACATAATAACTCAGAATCAGGAGCATGGCCAAAAATGAGTCGGGCAATTTTTCTGAAGGGTCGTCCGTAAACACAAACGAAAATCGGCCACAACGTTGCGGCGGGTGTTTTTTCTCGCAGCGAGCTCGAGGACCTCGGGTAACTTCCACATATTTCTCTAGGTAGGTGTTCAAAAGCCCACGGGAACCTGAGGGCGCCCAGGGCCCAAATGAATTAAATGACCAAGTTCATGATGAGGTTGCCTGTCTCAAGGCTTGCTGCGTCTCTGTCGCTGGAGAGTGAGTGGTCTGTGACCCCCCAGGGACCAGCAGGACTCCGAATCGCGCAAGTTGAAACTGGCGCAGGGAGTAGCAACGCAGGCAGCAACAACCTTGTCTGTCCATTTCCTTTTTTTCGAGAGGTGCACCAGGGGGCCAAATCAGCGCCACCGCCGCTGCGCTGTGATGGGTGCGTGCTCACTGTGGTGGTTCAGTGTTGATGGCGACGTGATGTGATGCGATTGTTTCCGCACTCGCGCCATCTCCGCCTGCGAATAGATGGTCGGCTCTCGCCCGGGGCGGGCGCGCGTGGGCATTGGCGCGCGCCCGGGGCTCCCGCCGACAGCTGGTTGGATCAAATCTTGCCCCCTCGCGGCGGGAGGCTCTCCAGGCCCGCGGCACGTCGCCACCGCCCGCGCTATCCGGGGCGCCATCTCCCAGAAACCTCGACAAGCTAAGTCGGGCGCCGCAGCGGCCCGCACGGCTCGCGCCACTGGGTTGCGGCTCGCGAAGCTAGCGAGGCGGCGCCAGCTCCAGATACGAGACCTATGTTGCTTCACATCACCAATTTGGCCCCTGCTGACTTTTTTCAAAATAATATATTGGGATGAAACGCTGCCGCTGGATATATCGAGCACAGTTGATCACAACACAAACGCTCCTGCGAGCCCCCGCCAAAATGGCAAGAAATGGTAAGCTCAGATCCGCATGGCTACATTGCAACCGAACCGCTTGACCACCATCTCGACCGAACTGGCGGAATTCGACCACGCGTCCGACAAAATGCGTTCGACGAGGGATGCGCTGCACAATGCCCCGGCCACGGGCAGCGCTGCCAGGGAAAGCGGGCCCTTCGATGTGTCACTTTCACCGCCCGTGAAAGTGACACCTCCCAGGGCCCACTTAAAGAGCACCAGAAAGGCTCCAAGAAGGCCCCGAGAAGGCCCCAGGGCGGCACCAAGAGGGCTCCCAGAGGGACCCAAGAGAGGCCCCAATAAGGGCCCAAGAGGGCCCTCCGCGGTGTCACTTTCAACGCCCGTGAAAATGACACCTCCCAGGGCCCACTTAGGGCCTCAGAAAAGCTCTAAGAAGGCCCCGAAAGGGCCACAGAGAGCCGCCCTGGGTTCAACTCCGCGTGGCGGAGTTGGAAGCGATAACTTCAATACCCTACTGGAGGCCTCTTAGGGGCCCTAAGACGGCACTGAAGAACCCCATCGGGGCTTTTTCAAAGGCAGAGGAGGGCGCAAAAAGGGGCCTCAGTGAGCCCCTGGTCTAACTCCACCTGGCGGAATTGGAAGCGATATCGCCCGGCGCCTTCATGGAGCCGCTCGGAGCTTCCAAGACGGCTCCAGAAGGCCCCAGGAGGGCCCCAAGAGGATCGAACGACGATTCCTGGAAGTGCACCAGTGAGACCCTTGTTGACCTCCGCCTGGCGGAGTTGGAAGCGACAATTTCCAGTGCCCTCTTGGGGCCTCTGGGGGGCCCCTCAGAAAGCTTTGGGGAGCACAGTGAAGGCCTTCGCAGGGCCGCGTGAGAGCCGTACCAGGGCCGCATGTGTGCGCGGATGGGGGCGACGAGTGCTGACGCTGACGAATATGAGAATGATGAGGGCGATCAAGGCTGGCCCGAAACAAATCCTGGCGCCATTGCAGGCCGCCGATTATCGGCCACGCCGCCAGGACGACGCCAAGCAACAAAACGACACCAACCAACAAACCGACACCAACCAACAAACCAACAAATCGACACCGACCAACAAAAGGACACCAATCAACAAAACGACACCAAACAACGAAACGACACCAAGAAACACACCAACCAACGACGGCACCATCAACAAAACGGCACTGACCAACCAAACGACAAATCACTTCACGACACCAATGAACAACGCGAAATCCACCGACCGCCAACCAAGCATAAAATCAACCGACACAACGAAACCAACCCATAGAGCCAGACCAACCACTGGATTCGTGAGTCGGGGTAGTCATGGAAGTGAGCCGCTGCAGCCCGCGGAAGCCATTAACAGTGACCAGAGCACCGCAATGCAGCAGCGTCCCCGGGCGGCGGCGGGAGTCTCGGATCTCCCGCGGGACTGGAGCGTAGCGTGTTCGTCCTGGGTCCGGTTTAGTGAAGTGAAGAATTTCGGGGTGCTTGGCAGGCAAAAACCTTCACTTCACTAATCTGGGGCCCCTGGAGCCCCAGGGCGTTTCAGGTCCCCTCGCTGTCTGGGTAGTCCAGGGGGCGCAGTGGCGGCTTACCAGAGGCCCTGTTCCCTAGCCTCACTTGCTTTCACCCGCGGTGCTCGACGGCCGTCTCGGAGCTGTCTTGTGGCGGTCTGGGGCAATCCCGAAGCCTCTTGGAGCCATCCCAAGGCCCCAAGGCGCCACCAATGGGGGCCCCAAGAGAGCTCCCAGAGGGCCCCGAAAGGCCTACAACAGATTGCACGTTCGCGCGAATTCTTTGTACCACTTTGGGGGGTCCCTCTTGGGGCCCTCGGGGAACGTTCTTGGGGCCCTCCGAGGGCCCACTGGGGCCCCGGGAAGGCCCCAAGAACGCTCCCAGAGGGCCCCAAGAATGCTCCAAGAGGGCCCCAAGAGGACCCCCACAAGTGACAAAAACTATTTGCATGAGGGTGCAACTTACTCGGCGCCTCTTGGGGCGCTCTTGGAGCCGTGCTGGGCGCCACTCGTGGACGACATGGGCTGGGCGA